GATTGATCGGTAGATATTTACAAAGATTTAGAAAGATTGTTTTTTTCCCCCCTTTTTCTTTCTTCTGGTACTATAAAAAGGACAGCGCTAGTTTGTAATTTACGTATGAAATACAGAAATCTTTTCCGGATTTTGTCTTCGGTACTATTTATTCTTTTGATGAGTTTGCAGAGATAACAAGTGAAACTATTAAAAGAACTCTTATAGGATAAATTTTTTCCAATCGCTAAAAAGAGATTATCGAAACCTTTTCAACTGGAAGTGGTTAGTTCTAATATTTCATTTTACATGAACAATACAATTATAAATAGATTTTAATGAGAACTTGAGATTCATATATAGAGTTATTGTTTACTTAGAGAGGATATCCTCACACACTTTAAGCCCTTACAAGGGGACTGGAGAAGGATGTTAAACTAGAAAATGAAGCTGGAACTACCTGTAAGTGATGTGTCTAGTTTAAAAAACTAAAGAGCTCCTGGAGCATCCCTCATGCTTATATTTACGCTGTTTCTCATTGTTCGTCTTCCAATACCAGCATTGCCTTTTTGCATCATTGCAACAAATTCTCCATAATCGATCCTTCCATCCTAAATAAACATGTTCATTGGATTGTTAGCAACACAAGCATTAATGAGACAAATTCCTAAATTTAGAGAAAATAAGGAGTTACCCTCAGTAACTTCTTGGACGTATCTTTTAAAACCAAAAAATTTATAGCCAATGTACAATGAAACAATCCATTTTGTCCTCCCAAGCTTTAGAAAACACTTAGCAGTTTTTGAGGTTTAGTTTGATCCAAAAATTGAACTTTTTAGCCTGAATAACCCATATTTGTTTCCCTGTATATAGAGTCATTGAAATAAGACCCCTCTTAAATGTATTTTAACTTACATTATCTTGATCCACTTCTTTAATAACATCTTCAAGGAGGACATCCGTCATGCCATGTTCTACACAAGCTTGCTGGAGTTCATCAATTGTAATATAACCACTTCCATCCTTGTCGAAATATTGGAAAGCTGCCATAAGATGTTCCTCGCGTTCTAGTTTGTTCAGGTGAATCGTTGCTGCAACAAATTCTCCATAGTCAATTGTTCCACTATTGTCTACATCAGCCTGCAAATCACAGCAATAGTTCAGCCACTGTGATTGCTTCAAAATTTGATTGAGAGCATAAGAACAGCAAACATAAGAGAATCCTAAGTTGATGATAGCCAAGCATTGATTGAAAGAGATGGAAGATGCTAAATCATGTAAATCATGAAGGGCAGGAGTATGGCAATTGCAGGCCTGTTAAACAGCTGGGACAGTTCTCTCATGTGACGAGGAAAAATGAATATGTAGAAGTTCCTCTTACTTCAATGAAAAACCCTTATGGCGGAACAGAATTTTATCAAGAACGTTCGTCGAATAAAAAGCCAGGGCAATCCCGTTAACAACATCTTTTCTATTTACTCATCTAAACTGTTTCTCTTTCAATTATAATCACATCCGTTCAAACGTGAATGTAACTTTGTTGTGAAGCACGTTGCTATACTAACAACCACTATAAGCCCTTGTTTGATTCTTATTATTTCTAAAATACATTTTTCTCTCTCT